CTCAATCCTCAGTAGGGAGCGTGCAGGAGGCAGACAATCAATGATTCTCTCTCATTATTGATGTATCTCTCTCCCTCTCCCTTTCTTTCTGAAATCAATAAAAATTATTTACCCCACCAGCAGGTGAGGGGATCCTAAGGCAGGAGCTGGGCATGAAAGCCATGGGGGCATAGGCTACCAAGGAGACAGAACTGAATCTCACATTACCCTGCTTGGCCCCAGAAGATGGCTGGTTAGCCAGTGATGTGTAAGATTCCTCGGGGAAGGAACAACCTAAGACAGGCACAGTCGAAGAGGGGCCATCAGGAGAGAACTTGGGGGTCAACTAAGGTGGGACACAGACCCTCACCCACTCAACTTTGCAGGGGCCTGAAACTTCACCCCTGCTGAGGGAGTCTCCTGCCCCCATGCTGCTTAACTTCCCATGCCCAGCTCAAATCGGGACCCGGGTAAAAGACAGAGACTTGGCTGACAGCAGCTGCCCTCGCACTACAACAAGACTTGTTTGAGTTGTCTTGTACCCATGGTGTGGGGAAGTGGGTTTTTAATATCTAAATCCAGCCTACCACCAGGAATGCTCAGGGCCTACTCAAGAAGGCAAATAAGCCTTTCCCCTAATATTTACACCATAAAATAAGATTGTTTTAGAGAAATAAATTTGACAGTAAAATAGTAGACAAGTTTTCAGGCTAATTTAAGTTGGCTAATTGAAATAAGCAAATATTCTATTGTAATTGCACTGGACAAAAAGCTGTTCCTAAAGTATTAACTAAAATTTTTATTGGTAGTTCATCTCAGAATAAAATCTCACAACAGGAAATGAACCTAAATCAGTCATATTTTAGTGCAAAAAATTAAAATTTAAAAGCTATCAAGACTAAATTATAAAATTTTCAAAAGCCTCCTAATATTTAAATCAAAAAAGGGGGAAAGTAGAAGAATAACATGTAAGGGAAAATATCCTGTAAGTAAATTGCATCTAGAAAATTTGTACTTTAGAAAATTAACTGTAATACTAATAGCAAGACACCCATGAAAAACACACATGGTGTCAAAACAAGCCAGAGGAAAATCATTTGGGCAAAAAATGAAAAAGGATCCCTACTCAAATTTATAGAAAATATTCCTTTATTAACTTTTCGCCGAGAATATGTTTGTATATTTTCAGAAAACAACTCTGAGACCATGTGGATTCTGGCAACAGAGAGGAATTGATAGGACTACTCCAACCATGAAGACAGAAGGGAAGCAGTCCAGAGATGGAAGATGCTGACGAAGCCTTGCCATAATAGCAGTCAGCAGCTGTGTATCACTGCAGGTTGCCAAGACCAAATCAGAGAGGGTTGGACCTGCATTACCACCATTTGCCCACCATCCAGAACTGAAATATCATTGCTGACATGTACACATAAGGAACTGTTTGACATTGAAATTGGGTCTCAAAAGAACTGTTGGCCCAGAAAGAAACTCACTACAGACTGATTCATATGCCTTTCAGCATAAGCATTATTGCTTGTCTCATTTTTGATTCTTATATTTCCAGTAGGACATGATCTCATTCATCTAGGAGAAATGGTGAACAATATAGACCGATGAACAAGAACAGACCCAGAGATAAGGAGCCATGATTCAGATTATTGGACCTCAAAGGGAGGGTGGGGATAAAAGAGAGAAATCAACCAAAGGACTTGTGTGCATACATATGAACCTAACCAATAGTCAAGGACAATAGGGCGGGGTAGGCACATGAGTGAGGAGGGGTGGAGGATTGGAATGGGGAGTTGAGGACAAATATGTAATACCATAATCAATAAAGAAATTTTTAAAAAAATTAAAATTAAAATTAAAATTATTTTTAAAATAAATAAATAAGTGTCCCTAGCTGTCTTAAGCCCAGTTTTTCCCAGCTAGTTCTCCAGACCCTGTAGTCTTCATAAACTTGACAGGTGTCACATAAACTATGTATAAAGGCTAGTGAAAACATTCACACACATGCATGTATGAGCACATCCACGCTTGCAACAAAGACTACCTGAAAACATCGAGGCCATTGACACTGAGAGTCCATTCTTTGACATGTGAGTCAGGTTAGATCCTTCGCTACCATCTGTGTAATAATGATTATAAAAAGGGGCCCTTTAGTATTCAGACAGGAAGTAAATCAATGAAAATGACAGTTCTGTACCACATATTCCTGGAATTAGGACTTGATTTTTGCTCTAAAAGATGAAACTGCTTTTAGGAACTTAAATCTACAGGTATACTTTTCACTATAGTTTTGGTTCTCAACAGGGGAAGATTTTGCCAGATTTTATAACCGGCAATGTCTGAAGACATTTTTTATTGCCATGATTGTGCTACTAGCATTTTGTGGGTAGAGGCTGGGATGATGCTAAATATCCTATAAAGCACAGGACAGTCAATCACAACAAAGAAATATGGGTTTAGAGTTTGAGAAACCCTGCCTTAAGGCCTTTTCCTTTAAGGATTTCTGTTTGGAACTGACTAGAGAGTTCGTTGATTAAACCTCTTCTCTGGGCCCACAGGTGTATTTCTGGCAACCAACAGGCAAGCTGTTTCAAACTGGGCTCCTCCCAGCTTACACAGCTTCCCCTGGCTCTTTGTTTTTGCTGCAAGGAACAGACTTATCCATACCCAGTGAAGCAGCATGTTTTAAATTTACCTTAATATTACCCCCATGAAATTCTGTTGATTCCAAGACAGAAGCAGAACCTTTTTATTCTTTTTTTTAAATTTGGAGATCAATTCAATCACAGACTGTGGTATAATAAAAATATATATATTTGGCCGAAACCGGTTTGGCTCAGTGGATAGAGCATCGGCCTGTGGACCGAAAGGTCCCGGGTTTGATTCTGGTCAAGGGCATGTAAACTTAATTTTTTCCCTTTTTTCGGTGACTCTGTCCTTTTCTCTTAGGATGATAATAAAGCTCTTTTTAAACACTTTGAAACAATTTCAGTTGTGTTATGGAATACAAGAGGATAGGATGCTGATGTCATGTAAGGAATGGGCCAGCCCGAGGAGGCTCTTAACAGGAGGAGGCTCTTAACGGAGGCTCTTAACAGGAGGCAGCTGATAGATGCTTCTCTCTCATCAATGTTTCTAACTCTCTATCCCTCTCTCTTCCTCTCTGTAAAAAATCAATTAAATATATTTAATATATATATATATTTGGTTTCTGGACCATTTCCTGGCACAGAGCTCCTAAAATTCATTATTTCCCGAGGAATGCCTTTTGTTATCCATAACAATCCCCTTTCTATGAGCTTAAACTATTTAATAGGGGGACTCTGGGGACATCCAGATAGCTTGGATAGGTCTGATTACCAGGAGAAATTTTAGCCACAACCCCAATTTCCCAGGAGGGGAGAGGGCCTGGAGATTATGTTTAATCATTAAAGGTTAATGATTTAATCACTCATGCCTGCACAATGAAACCCTGATAAAAACTTACAGTGATGAGGACTGGAGGAGCTCCTCGTTGGTGGGTGAACATATTGATAGGACAGTGGCACACCCTGACTCCACAGGACAGAGGTTCCCATGGACACTTTGGGACCTTGTCCTACACACCTCTCCATGTAGCTGTTCGTTTGTAAGTATAGTGCTTTCCTGAGTTCTGAGTCATTCTAGCGAATTACTGAACCTGGTAGGGAGTCATGGGAACCCCTGAATTTGTCGTTGGCTACGGAGACATGTGGTGATCCTGGTGACCCATCTATGACTGGTAGGTAAGCAGGGATAGTCTCATGGGATTACGACCTTAAACTGTGAGGTTAGGTCTGTGCTCCAGAAGTTGGGTGTTAGAACTGAATTGTAGGACACTCAGAGTTGGTGTCTGAGAATTGGAGAATTATTGTTGGAAAACCATATACAAACAAACAAAAAATGAGTTTTAAGTGACTACTGCTGTCATGAATAGAAATCAGATATATTAAGGAGAATACAGAAAAAAGATTTACTGGAAACCTGGAAAAATATGAACAAAAATTCTATTTCTGAATGGGGAAGAAACCCAGCTACCACACCCAGAGGTCTGTGCAGGTGGATGAGTTCTCTGGATTAGTGTAAACAGGAAAGCAAAGCCTCAGGAAATAAAAGATCTATCTATTCATCACCATGTTACCATGAATTACTGGTACAATTCACCCTCTATAAGAAAATTACTATGAGGACAATTATGTGATACCATAATCAATTTTTAAAAATTAAATTAAAAAAAAAAGAAAATTACTTGGTTTCAGCCATAGGGGAAAAACTATGTCCCTGAACTTCTGTTTTTTGTTTGTCTGTTTGCTGCACTGATGGGAATGCAAAGAAATCTATGATTTGCAGAAACAAATGAACCCATTAATCATAGGTTAACCTAATTTAACAACTGCCTTCCCGGATTATAACCCTCCTCTTCTTTATGCAGATAACATATCCTCGGGTGAGGATCAACAAAACAAACAAATAAAAGTTTGTGATTCTGCTAAATAATTTGCCCACTGGGAGGACAGAAAATAAAGCTCTACTTTGTAAACTTAATTTTTTCCTTTTTTCGGTGACTCTGTCCTTTTCTCTTAGGATGATAATAAAGCTCTTTTTAAAACACTTTGAAACAATTTCAGTTGTGTTATGGAATACAAGAGGATAGGAAGCTGATGTCATGTATGGAATGGGCCAGCCTGAGGAGGCTCTTAACAGGCGGAATCCAAGGGAGAACCCAAAAGAAAGACGCAATGGAGGAAGAAGCACCAGGAGACTTCAACAGCCAGCCCACTCCACCCGGAACACTTCCTCCCAGTGTTCTTTTCTGCTTAAATTTTAAAGGGGTTTTGTTTTTAGCAAGAGAGGCTGTCCCTTACAATAACCCACAGCATTCCACCATGGACCAGACTGAAGACCACTACTTAGGGAAAACTTCTCAGCCCATGATTCAAAATTAAAAGAAACCGGTAACGAAAGCTCCCTTGAAACAAAGTGCCACTTCTTACCTTGGATTTCCAATTCATCAACCTCATCGGCAGAGCCGGAGTCAGAGAGCCGTGTGGAGTCACGCGAGCTGAACTGGGAACTGCTGGAAGTGACCCGAAAGCCTGTTAACATAACAAAAAAAAGGGGGGGGGGGGGTAAACAGGACAGAAAAACATCTCCTGCCCTAAGTGGTTTGGCTCAGTGGATAAAGCCTCAGCCTGCGGACTCAAGGATCCCAGATTCGATTCCGGTAAAGGGTTTGCACCTTGGTTTTGGGCACATCTCTAGTAGGGGGTGTGCAGGAGGCAGCTGATTGATGTTTCTCTCTCATCGATGTTTCTAACTCTCTCTCCCTCTCCCTTCCTCTCTGTAACAAATCAATAAAATATATAATTTTTTTAAAAATATATTTTATTGATTTTTTACAGAGAGGAAGAGAGAGGGATAGAGAGTTAGAAACATCGATGAGAGAGAATTATCGATCAGCTGCCTCTTGCACACCCCCCACTGGGTATGTGCCCGCAACCAAGGTACATGCCCTTGCCCGGAATCGAACCCGGGACCTTTTAGTCCGCAGGCCGACGCTCTATCCACTGAGCCAAACTGGTCCCGGCAAAATATATAATTTTTTTTTTTAAAAAAAAAAAAGAAGAGCAACATCTCCTACTTCTTCGGGAGCTACAACAAAAGGAACCTGGTCTGACTTTAGCAGAGACGTACACACAGCCCTGAGAGAAGCCGGGGAAGTGGAAACTAGTCCTGCTTGCTGGCCGATCCCCATTTCATTCGTGAAATTGATCAAGTTTCCTGTAGGTAGTAGGTATCTGGTCTTAGTTCTCATATCAGAAACCTATTTTTTGGAAGATATTTCTGAGGCAGGAAATGGGTGAATTCTCGGACTCTGGTAGAAAAAAGTAAAATATAGAAAATCTTTTCTGACAGAAGAGGAACCCTTGGCTTGGTGATAACCTCTCAAGTTAAGACCGAAAAGAAAACCCAGGAGGCACCAGTTCTCCTGAGGCAGGAAGAAGCAGGAAGAGGGGGATTCCGAGCCTCACTCACTTCCGTGCTCGGTCTCCTGGTACCCAGGGAGCAGGTTCTTGGTGCGGATCTGCTGGCGGCGAAGGCGGATCTTCTGCTTCAGTTCCTGGATCTCTCTGTCGCTGTCTTCCCCCTCCTCTTCCTCCTCCTCCAGGCACTGGCTCATCATGTTGCACTTCATTAATTCAATGGCAGCAATTAAGGACTCTGAGATGCTGAAGTGGGCATTCTCCTGGGGGAAGCATAGAACCAAACAAGCTGTTCAGCAAGGGGTGAGAAGTATTGAACGTGTCGTTGACTGTACTGTCGGAAATAAAGCTTCCAAAGCACACACTACTGTTCTTCAGAACAGCCAGGGGAAGTGGATGGTCTACCATAAGGAAAGCCGATGACCAGAAAACCCATTCTACATTCTCTTTGCTCTCAGACCTCTTCATGCCTGGCCTTCCTGGCCTATTTTCCACATAAAAAATATGACAGAGAAGCATCCTAGATTTCCCATCAGGGTCTTTCCTAAAGCCATACAGCGGTACACAAAGTGTTAAATTAAGTGTGATGTCTCAAGATAAAGTGATACAATTTGTAAGCTATAAAATTCTACAGAAACATTACTTATTGCACTAGAGACCCCATGCACACAATTCCTGCAAGGAGCGTGGCCCTCGCAGCCCGGCTCTCCGGAGGCCCCGGCTGCCTCTTCACCCTGCAGCCCCGCCCGCTGGTCGTTCAGGAAGGTCGTCCGGATGGTCGTCCCACCATTCGGTCTAATTAGCAGATTAGCTCTTTCTTATATAGCGTGGCTGAGCTTTAGAACAAAATACACAAGTTGGTTCTGGAAAGAGTTATTCCCTCAGGTTCCGGGGTCAAGGAAACAATAATCAGGTGGCTGACATTCAATCCTTCTCTGCCCCAGGCAGCTTCTAAGACAAAAAATCAGTAATATTCCTGGACTTGATGAGGAGCACAACTCCCTGAAGAGTTCTCCAGAGAGAGAATTCGTTGAGTTTATCTTTATTGTGAACTTACCTTTTTTATAGTCTGTACTCATGTCACCTCAGTGTGCCCTGAGACCTCTTTCGAACAAATGCACCCTAGCCAGTATGGCTCAGTGGATAGGGCATCGGTCCTAGGCCCAGGCTCGATTCCAGTCAAGGGCATGTACCTGGGTTTCAGGCTCGATCTACAACCCTAGTCAACTAATCAATGTGTCTCTCTCACATCAATGCTTCTCTCTGTCTGTCTCTCCCCTTCTCGCCCCTCTCTAAAAATCAATGGGAAATCAGGTAAGGATTAACATTAAATATATATATATATATATATATATATATATATATATATATATATATATATATATGGCACGGCAGCCCCTCAGATCTCCTGACTCATGAGCTCTCAGATTCTTTAGATGTCTCACCTTTTCCAGGTCTGCACAGCTTCCAAAGTCTTGCTCGGACAGGTAGCTGATAAGGGACTGTCCTTCTGACGGTCTTCGGAACATGCTTTCACCTGAGCATAGGTACTGGCCACCCTCTGCGGGCAAATGGAATGTGAGTGTGAAAAGCTCTGCTTTGAAAAGCAAATCTGCTTGACAGTCACGCTTCATAAAGAAGTCTGATGTTTTTACCATTAATGATGGTCTCGAGTTTTCCCAGGTACCAGATTGGGAAAAAAGGTATCTACCTTCTAAAGGAATTCCTCTGAATGTCAAATCCCACAGCACAAAGCCTCCTGGGTAAAGAATGATGGATGGAAAGTGCCTGGAGACAATGTTTTTCATCACCTAAATTTAAGACGACACCCTTGCTCTCCTACCCCACACAAAAAAGAAAACAAAAACCTGTGCTGAGAATCAACAAGGAAACAACTGGCTCCTTCTGACGGCCGATTTCCACGGGCAGCTTCTCTTCTGGTGATTAAGCCCAGACACTCAAAGGCCTCTTGTCAAGGTCCCTCTCACCCACTCAGAGAGCCATTCCATTGGCTCCACAGACATTCCTAGTGATAACAGCCAGAGCATGAGAGCCGGTGGGACCACTAAGCCAGAGCGGAGCGGAGAAATGGAGGGGCCGTGTGATTTCTAGCACAGGGGTGGAAACTGATGGCAGGGAGAGAGACGCTGTGTGGTGAGCATCCTCCGCAGAGCTGATGCGGCCACACAGCTCAGAGTTTAGCAGGCACGGGGGGAGAGCGAAGACACAACTGCAGCCGAAACCGGTTTGGCTCAATGGATAGAGCGTCGGCTTGGGGACTGAAAGGTCCCGGGTTCGATTCCGGTCAAGGGCATGTACCTTGGTTGCGGGCACGTCCTCAGTAGGGGTGTGCAAGAGGCAGCTGATCGATGACTCTCTCTCGTCGATGTTTCTAAACTCTCTATCTCTCTCCCTTCCTCTCTGTATAAAATTAATAAAATATATTTAAAAAAGACACAACTGCAGCCCTGCCTTCCTAGTACTCACCGTACTCCATGTACAGAGAGCTGGGTGTGCTGACTTCACTGCTCTGGCCAGAGTAGGGCAAGGGGCCTCTCAACTTCGACTTATCATTGCAGGACTCTAGTGTCCGTGGCCACCAGGAGTAAAAACACACACACATGAGAACAGTTACATTTCCAACTCTGGCTTTTCAACCTTTAACTGCTCCCATTCCCGATGCCCTCCCAAACAAGAGAGGTGGCACACCAACAGGGAACGGTCCAAGAGTGCAGGAACACATGGGAAATCAGTGCTTTCTAAAGGGAAAAGAGAGAAAAGAACAGGACCCAGAATGAAACACAAAGGGGAAAAATAAATCAAATGAAAGTGGATTTATGAATTTAGTCCTCTGTTCTTCCATCTTCTTAAGCAAATGTTCCATAATTATCAGCCAACTTCTGCCCTCTTGACAAACCATTTTATAAAACTGTCTTCACGTGGTAAAACAAAGAAAAGCACATTGAAACTTCACTGATACCTTGACACAAGGCTTAAAACAGTATCAGAAGGGTTAAATTCACTAAGGAAATACGAGAATATGGCTTCTCTTCAACCTGCAATGTAAATGTGTCATACTCACAAATTTAACCCATTTCTGAATGGACAGAATAGCAAAATGAAATCCAGCAATGTCCTTAAACACAAACACCCAAGACAATGCTAGAGAAAGCAAGGATGATGCCTGCAAACCACAGGGCTGGAGGCCCAGCCTTACTGAAGAAGGAAGAGGGAGGTTTTAAGAGAAAGCTGGCAAAATATGAAGTGCATGGATAGAAGTTTTCAAGGAACCGTGAGAGTTGGGAGTGGAGAAATAGCAGCAGGCAGGGCTTGCAGGAAATGAGAAAACTGATACTCTCCAGAGGGAAACAAAATTCCAGTGTCACAGAGGGAAGAGCAGGCGGGAAAGCAGGTGGGTGCCTGGGAAATGAGCTGCATGCTCAGGGACGATGAATGACTGAGCTGCATCCAACCCATTTCCCTGACAGACGGTGCCAACTGGTCAGCTGCTCCTCTCACAGAACATGCTACTGCGTGGGGAGAGAGAATGTTGTATTCTCCTGGGCCTCAAAGATTCCCAGTGGACCTGGCAGAGGATTACCGAACTGAAGCAAAAACCAGCGGTTACCATAATGCCTTGTTCACAAACCATGCCTTGGGAAGGACCTTTGAGGTCCCCAGTCAAACTCAATGTACAGCATAAACTCCAACACCGGCACCCTGTTTCCTTACAATTCGCAAAGGCCATCCAGCTCGCTTACTGCGCTTCCTACCTCCTCACGCTAGCCCGTTCAACTGAAATGAAACCTGTCACTCGAAATGCCGTCTTACAATTTCTCATCTCCTGAAGAACAATGCTTCTTTATTTTTTTTTAAATATATTTTATTGATTTTGTACAGAGAGGAAGGGAGAGAGATAGAGAGTTAGAAACATCGATGAGAGAGTCATCGATCAGCTCAAGAACAAAGCTCCTTTAAACCACGGTCTCACAGACTCACTCCGCTTGAACCTTATCTTTTCCAAGCTCACGTGCCCAGTGACTTTACCCATTACCCGGAGGGTATGGTTTTTACTCCTCCCTCTGCGCTCCGTTTGGCTGACACTCTCCAGGGTTAGTATCTCCATGCATTACGGTACAACATTCAGGTGGAATACACTGTGACAACCAAAGAAACAGACTGCATCCCTAGAAAAATCCCATGAATGAGGGGTGGGGAGAACCTGATAAAGGAAGGAAGACGGGTGACAGGAAAAAGGAAACAGGCCAGGCCAAAGGCATGCATCCACATCCAAGATCACAGAAAGGGAAGGAAACCCATTCTGGTGTTCATTCAAGGAAAATAAAGAAATCCGTTCCAAGTGCTCAGCTGTAAGAACAATTCTGCCAATTTCACCATGATGCCTTAGACCATGCGGCAGCTTCATTGTCATCTTCGGACAAACAGGATTGACAAGCCTTGGGTCTGCCTCCCAGAGCAGCTGGGAGACTGAATGAAGTTTTTGGAAGTCGTGGGCCGAAAACACGTTATGCAAGACATTGGTGTCGCTTTGCACCCAGGTGCAAGCATCACAGCAGGACCGGACTAGCCAGACTTGATCTGACACCAGAATGGAAAAGGAGGTTCCGAACCAAGCACGTTGGTGACAGAGGAGCAGCAGCAGGAGGAGGAGGTACACAGGGAGGAGGAGGACTGGCTCCCAAACCTGCAATGGGATCTTCAACTATAATGGTGATGTTCCTGGGGCCTCCTGTACGCAGACAGACAGGTGCAGAGAGTCCAGGTGGAGGAAAGGAGAATAGAGAACGTGAGAAAAAGAGTGTCCTTTTATTTGGCCAGGTGGGGACTGAACTGCCGAGAGGGAACGCTTGTGCGGAAAGAGGGATGACTTGTACAAGAAGCTGCCCATGGCCGAAGCTGGTTTGGCTCAATGGTAGAGCGTTGGTCTGCGGACTGAAAGGTCCCGGGTTCGATTCCGGTCAAGGGCATGTACATTGGTTGCAGGCACATCCCGGATGGGGGGTGTACAAGAGGCAGCTGGTCGATGTTTCTCTCTCATTGACGTTTCTAGCTCTCTATCCCTCTCCCTTACTCTCTGTAAAAAATCAATAAAATATATATATTTTTTTAAAAACAAAACAAAAAAACAAGAAGCTGCCCATGATCCACACCCCCTCAGACCCCTTTGCTTAGGTTTTCTCTGGCTCCCTTTCCAGTGCAGGCTACCGTGGTTTCTGGAATCCACGTGGGTTCAAGGACGAGGACAGGGAAGTGTCACATGCTCAAAGACCAGCTGCCTGACGTGCAGCAGGAGATGTGAATTGAGACTCTAACCCAAGCACGCTTCACAGCTAAGACAGCTTGTGCGAAGACAGGCTTTGACTTGGGAGTTTATTTTCTGAAGCGTTCCAGTAAGCCAAACCATATTTTTGACAGGAAAATAGGGACAAAATTTTGCTATTCAGAAGTTTCAGGTGAGGGCCTTAGCTCTTCTCACCTTTGTAGAAATTACAAAGAGAAATCAATGGCAGCTCTAGTTGCTAAAGGAAATCCTTCCTTTTTTTTTGTCCTTGATTTTTTTTTTAAATATTTTATTTCTGGGGCTTTCCCACTCAGAACTGGCTTTAAGCACAATGGAAATCCTCTTACAAATGAAAGCCAACCAAAGCCTGCTGGACACCGTCAATCCTGGGAAGATGGTGGCAGGAAGATGGCAAAAGCGATGAGCCGCACCTTCCCTGTGCCTACAGCCCGCTCTGCTGCTAGCAGCTGGTGCTTGTGTGAGGGAGGGCTCCGTGGCAGGGCCTCCTGACCTGACTGCCCTTCATCCGGAATTAGGGGAGCACAGTCCACCCGCCTACCTGTTCACTAGGTCACATCACCCCAAACCCACTCCATCCCTAGTTTCAATAAGGAAACCCTAGTATCACTTGGCCTCACTCCTATTGGTAATACATGCTGACCCAACTCCTCGGGAATCACAGGAAGGGAAGGGATTTAATGGGATTGCTTTTAAAATGTACCGTGTTTCCCCGAAAATAAGACATCCTCCGAAAATAAGACCTAGCGCATGGAAAGACATTCCCTGAAAATAAGACCTAGCGCAACTTTGGGAGAAAGAATTAATATAAGACACTGTCTTATTTCCGGGGAAACAGGGTATTAGTACTTCCCCTCTGTCTGAAAGATACATGTAAAACTCAAACTGGGATGAGTCACACTGTGTATGCTCTGATGCTGAAGAACTAGTGCAAGAATCCAGGAAAAAGCATTTCCTATTTAGCAATGTACAAAGGAACAAACATAGGTATTCTGAGCGAGATTCCTTGGGTAACCCTATTCGATGACAAACTTCTCTCTTTTGTCGGAAGCGTAACTTCTCTCTCTGCCATTTGAAGATCCTTCCACCCCAAGAAAAATTCAGGAAACCACCTTCCCAACGAGGGGCTGGTGGTTCGCATTACCTGGGGCTCCTCTGGAGACGATGTTGGTATCCGAATGGGAGCGAGTATGGCTCTTCTTGGTTCCACTGGGGACAGCGAGCGCCTGTCCCTCTGAGAAGCTGGACCTGCGAGGGACACCGGACAGCTGGCTCTGCCCACCTCCCTCTTGGTCCACTAGGGAAGAAGCCGCCGAAGCTGGCTTCTGGGAGCCGCTGGAGGAGAACAGATTGGAGCTGCTGCTCTCGGCATTGCTGCTGTGACTCTGACAACTGGCGGCCGGGCCGCGGGAGTCCAGGTTGCCGATGGCCAAGTACTCGGGCCCTTCGCTGGCATCGCTTGGAGAATCATTCTGGCTGCTGACCCAGGATGACTCCAAAGGGCTGGTCAGAGTGCTGGAGCTCATCTCATTTGGCGTTGAAGGGGAATCCCTGGTTAATGCAGAGACTGGGAGCAGAGGGGCCTGGATGGTTTGATCCTTGGCTGGGGAAATGTGCCCTCTGCTTTCTTGAGGTTTCCGGGGAGGGCCAGAGAGAGAAAAGGAAGTAGATCTTCTTTCTAGGATATAAAATGAAAGGGAAGGGACAGTTGACCTGGAAGCCTTCGGTATATAGGAACGGCTTCTCCACAACTAAGGGTCAAACTCCCTATCATTAACAGGTGCTCAGAACACACCACGTCACCTTAGAAAGGGTAAGTCATTTAAGGTGAGTAAAAAATTACTTGGAAGCAGCTAAGTCAAGAGAATGAGGTCTTGAAACAGTGACTTCATGGTTTATTAATATGCATTCCTCATCTAAAATGAGCAATAATAACATTCACCTCATAGGACTGTTTTGAGGATCAAATGAGATAATACATATACACTGATAATAACAGAGCCTGGCACATGGTAGGCATTCAATACGGGTTGGCTATTATTATTGAAATGCATTCTTGGCAATGAAGAGGAGAAACACGGGGGACTCTAAAACCACCTCTCTTTCCTCTGTTACTTTAATGATTCTACTGAATTATCGTAGGCTAGTTGCTATGCACCTTTTTAAGATCTCCACTATGAAGACATGAAGTTTGACAAACTACACCACCAGCTCAAGGCTCTATCTAGACCCAGCCTGTGAGCACTCAAAAGTCTTCTTCTTTCCAGTCCAGGAATGCATGTCATAACTACCCTGTCCTGCTCCCATACCTGGGCCGTGGTTGGGGACAGATTGGTAGAGGCTAGAGAAGGACCCAAAATAGGAATGCTGACCGGAGCTGGTTGGAGGGGTGCATGTGGAACCAGGCAGAGCTGTCAGGCTCTGGCTCTTTGTCACCAGCAGTGGGCTCTCATGCTTCCCGGCAAACTAAAAAAAATAATAATAAAAATAAAGTATCAGAGTCAAGGTCAAGGATAGAGGTCCCCAGAGTAACGACTACAGAAACACAGGTAGAAGCTGGCCTTTGGCAGCAGGCTTGGACTGCTATGCACATGGAGTCAGGAGTCAGACCAGGGTTCAAATCCAGGTCCTATCACTTGTAAGCTATTTGCTCCAAACTCTGGGCACGTGACTTATGTGTCCAGAGTTTGGAGCAGTGTCCACCTTAGAGAGTTGTGATGATTAAATGAGATGATGTATGAATTGTGCATAGCACCATGCCTGGCACATACATAGTATTGTAACTAAGAATAAGTATTTTAAAACCAGGAAAGGTACGGAATACCTCCTTAAAAAAGGTAGGACTGTGATTACATCCTAGCTGAGGCACTGATATTAGTGTTGGGGTAAGTGAACTAGAGAGTTAATAATAAGCAACATCTAGCAATGAAATTTTCTTTATACTTCAAAGACAAAAATACTAGATACTAGACCACATAATACTAGACCACATTAGGTCTGATGCTATAAATCCTGCTCCTGACTCAAAACCATCCTTCTTATCCCAGCTCTTTATCAAGCCTGTCTTTAGGGAGGTGCTGACTCAAACTAAAGATTTTTTAAACGGTTTAAAAAAAAATAGACACCTCCTTTCTTAGACAGACCTAAACCTAGGCTTTTTACTTCAATAAGGCCTGACAGTACCTCCCTTTTTTCTTTTTTTTTTTTTTCCTTTTTTTTTTTTTCGGTCAACATAACCTTTTTATTTTTATTTTTTATTTTTTATTTATTGATTGATTGATTGATTGATTATGGTCTCACGTAATTGTCCTTATTCCGCCATTCCCATCCCAAACCCCTCCCTAGATATGCCCCACCCCTACTCCCCCGTTGTCCATGGCCACTGGCCAGGCCCATATGCATGCACACAAGTCCTTTGGTTGATCTCTTCCTCTTACCCCCACCCTCCCCTACTTTCCCTCTGAGGTTTGAGAGTCTGATCGCTGGTTCTCTTTCTCTGGGTCTGTTGTGCTGTTCATTATTTCCCCTAGATGTGTGAGATCATGTGATCCAAGAAATACCCTTGTAAGAACCGAAACTGCAACAAGCCAATCCCTTTCTTTTCTAAGTGTTTTTTGTTTTTGTTTTTAATGAAAGCCTTTGCGTTTACAACTGACAAAGAAACATCTGGCTACGGAGGGTTACGTCCCTGTGCGGCCCAGGAGGCCAGCACAAACGAAGGTGATGGCTGCCCCCTTTACCATAGAGGCATCGATCTGGGCGAGGAGGCGGGGGTTGTTCTGCTCCACCGCTTCTAGGCACTGCAGCATGGCTGTGACGTGGGCGTCGCTGAGCAGGAAAGCGGTATCTGGGGAGAGAGAAGCTACCGGTGATGGAGCCAAGAGGGGGTCCTTCAGCTTCCCTGTGTGACCCTGGGAGAAGGTCAGGGAAGGAGCGAGGGAAAAGGCAAACATGACTTGAGCAGAATCATGCCACTGTGGAGAGAGGCGGAGCCAGCGGCGAATAAAGTACAGGAGAGGCTAAGTAACGCCTAGTATAGGAGAGAGGCTGGGATAAGAGGCTTCAAACTCAGAATGACCCGATTTTAATCCTGGCCCTCGGTGGCTTTGGACACGTTACCCAACCTTATTGAACTCTACTTCCCTGATTGGAAAACGGATATTAATATCCAACTTTCAGGGCTGTTGTTAAAAAGTACATGTACAAAAGGTAGGTAACAGTGTTTGGAACATGGAAACTCTCAGTCAGTAGCAGTTTTTCTTATTGGTTTGTGTGTGTGGGAGTAGAGGAATAGGTTTGTGTATGACATAGGAAGTGAGAGAGAAGACTGGCTACAACATGTTTCTTATTAGAATCTCTACAGCATCAAGTCCAATATGAGACCTTGGGTAAGAGTCTTTAAAGGAAGGGTAAAGTGGAAAACAGTGAGGGAATCTGTGCCACTGTCCTGGCTAAGGGACTCTGCCTACCTGTGTAGAACTTCCTGATATACTGTCTGTCCCCAAGCAGAGGTCGGAGCTGCGCGGAGAGGCAGTGGCACTGCAGGCTGTGCTGCAGCCACAGCTCTGCAATGACACGCTCATTCACGCCATCGGTGCTGCTCTGGCCATTCTCGTGCAAGTTGATGAACTGGGAGGCAAAAGGGCATGAGTCAAAACATGTAAAAGGGTAAAAACACGGCAAGATTGAGGCCTGAAGACCTGAGAACTAAACTGAGACACGTTAAAAGGAGGCGATCACAGGCAATTTTTCCTCCAGCTAGCATCTACAAGGTTACTGAGGACGGAGAGGGAAGGAAGGGATTAATGGCTCTGTTGCTGGATTGGACCACTGGAGCGGGGCTAAGCAGTTAAAACCTAATATGCAGTTTCTAGAGAAAAGAAAGCTCCTACGTCTCTATGTTCTTATTCCAAAGAAGCATCTTTCCTGGGGTACTCAGAAGAATGATAAACTTGATCTTTTCCTTCTCTCACAGAGTCCTCTATTTCAGACAGCCTTCACAAAAGGATGCAACAAAAACCTGGGGGAAAGAATCTAGAAAAATGCCTCCAAAGAGAAACCTCTTTTGGCCTCTAGCCACAGCATTCATTCTATATTTGGAACCTCCTTCTGCGTAGCTGTTTCTGAAAGCAAGGTCTCAGCCCAGGATCAGTGCAAAAAAAAGGACGGATGGCAATTTCAAGCAGCGTCTAAGAGTAAATAACAATAGCAATAAATTTTATAGAAGAAAAGTAGAGGGAGGTTTGGTGGGAAAAGTGAGGACAATAAAATCTCCATTAAAAAAAAAAAAATCAGCCGAAACCGGTTTGGCTCAATGGATAGAGCGTCGGCGTGGGGACTGGAGGACCCAGGTTCGATTCCGGTCAAGGGCATGTACCTTGGTTGCGGGCATATCCCCAGTAGGGGGTGTGCAAGAGGCAGCTGGTCGATGACACTCTCTCATCAATGTTTCTAACTCTCTATCTCTCTCCCTTCCTCTCTGTACAAAATCAATAAAATATATAAAAAAATAAAAAAATAAAATAAAATAAAATAAATCATTGGGCTCTGGCCTCTTCTTCATAAAAAAAGGATAGTATAAGGCCAATCCTTTTATTTGGTTCCTTTACCAATTAAAAACAAGTTACTACCCAGCCAGTGTGGCTCAGTGGTTCAACGTTGACCTATGAACCAGGAGGTCACAGTTCAATTTCCGGTCTGGGCACATGCCAGGGTTGCAGACTCGGTCCCCAGTGGGGGTGCTGTGAGAGACAGCAGATCAATGATTCTCTCTCATTGATGTTTCTATCTCTCTCTCCCTCTCTGAAATCAGTATAAACACATTTTAAAAAAATAAATTAAAACAAGTTACTTTTCCCAACATCATCTCAACAATGAATCTGGCAGTGGGTAGGATATATATGAAATAAGACTGGCCATGAATCAATAAGTATTGAAGATGGATGCTGGATATTCGTTACACTATTCTCTTTAATTTTATATATATTAAAAATTTTTTCCATAAGAAAGAGTTAAATCAATAGGTACATAGATTTGGCAGAGACTGATCTGGAACTAGCTGTGTAACTCTAGCAAAGTCATCTAACCTCCTCCGGCTTTGTTCCCCTGACTAGAAATCCGGGGTACTATGATGAGCTGAGAGGATGGGAAAGCAGAATGCTATGATGGTAGCCAAAGCTGACAGGAACATGTATGGCTCCATTTGACCCTGGTCTTCAGAAAACTCACATTTCTTTCTAATTGCTGTATCTCACTTCTTAAACAGTTATTAGAATTTCAGTCCCACTTTCCCCAACCACTTCAGGGAACCTCTTAACATATACCATAGACCCTGGATTTTTAAAAGCTTCACTCTGGTCCCATATATGCAGATCCTTGGAAAACAATAAAACTTTTACACCCCTTCCCCAAACGAGAGAAAGCGGCCAGCACAATGGGTTTGCAAAGTTTATTTTTTAAAGCAAATAATTCTCCCCTTCAAATCAGTCCTGAAGGGATCATTTCCTCTCCTCGGTTATAAGAAAGGTGACACACACTGTCCTTCCATCCTAGGAGACTCGTCAAACAGAACATCAAACAATGAGGCCTCGTGGTTACCTTCATCTCTTACCTTCTCCACGTGCAGGGCTGAGTGGGGACTCAGCCAGCGGATGTCTTTCACAAATTGCCAGTAATCCGTTTGGCGGCAACACACCTGCAGTGGGAACATACATGGTAAACAAATCACTACCATTTTGGACCAAATCTAGTTCTGGTGTTGACATTCAAAGAGAGAGATAACAGAAGTTCTCAGCAGCAATAAAAGGAATACATATACATGTTCACCTTTTTAAAGGATAACTTTAAAATCATTGTAATTGTTCTTTTGAATAAGTAATTTGTATATATCATATCGAAGGTTATATAATGAAAATAATCTGTTTTCTACCCTTTTCTCTCCACCATTCAACAATAAGAAAACAAGTCATTTGATCTTAAAAATGGGCCAAAGACCTTAACAGACACCTCACCAAAGAAAATATGCACATGGCAAACACATGAAAAGATACACTACAGCCAAAACCAGTTTGGCTCAGTGGATAGAGCGTCAGCCTGCGGACGGAGGGGTCCCGGGTTCAATTCTGGTCAAGGGCATGTACCTTGGTTGTGGGCACATCCCCAGTGGGAGGTGTGCAGGAGCCAGCTGATTGATGTTTCTCTCTCATCGATGTTTCTAACTCTCTATCCCTCTCTCTTCCTCTCTGTAAAAAAATCAATAAAAATATATATTTTAAAAAAAGAAGCTACTTCTTTAATCATGTTCCTGCTCATGCTATAATAGCATCTGTTAGCTTCCAGTCTTCTGCAAAGTCTTGTGCAGCAAGTCCAAGGACTCTGAGTAAATCTACACTAGCAGCAAAAGAGACTCATTTAGTAGCTAAAAATATTAATATGTCCATAATTCTGATTTCTCATTTTGTTGTTTTGCATTGGCATTGTTGCTATTATTTAATAGCCAGAGTTTTGCTCTTGACATTCAAGTTTTGAAAATAACAAGTATATGGAATAGTTTTTGCATTGGCAAAAAAAAAAAAATCTGAAGACTAGAATAAACTGGTGAATATAATAGAGTCAGGGGCAAAGAAAGGGAGTGGATTGATAATTATCAGGGGGAAAGGGGTGTGGGGGTGCAGAAGGAGACTGGGTTAAAATCATATAGCCTATGGATGAGGACAATGGCGAGGGTGGGGGGAGGTAAGGGCAGAGGGTGTGGCAGAGGGTGTGGAAAGGAATTGGGGGAGGGGGAAGGAGAAACAATTGTAATAATCTGAGCAATACAGATTTTAAAAATAATAATAATAAAATAAAATTGGAGCAAAATAAAAAAAATAATGAATTATAATCTCTATCACAAAAAAAAAAAAAAAGATACACTACATCATATGTCACCAGGGAAATACAAATTAAAACAATACGATACCACTATATATACCTATTAGAATGGTCAAAATCCAGGTGAATACCGACATAAATGCTGGCAAGGATTTAGAGCAAAGGAACCCTTATTCGCTGATGGTAGCAATGCAAAATGTCAAAGCCAGTCTGGGACACAGCTTGGTAGTTTCTTGTAAAACTAAACATACCCTTTCCATATGGTCCAGTGATCACATTCCTTATAATTTACCCAAAGGAGCTGAAAACTTATGTCCACATAAAATCCTATACACAGATTTATAGCAGATTTATTCATAATTATCATAGCCTGGAAGCAACAGAAATGTCCCTCAGTAAGTAATGGATAAGTAAACGGTGGTGCTCTTCCATCTCGGCCACCGACAGGCCGTCCAGACTGAGGAAGACCCGAAACATCGGGGCCACGTGAGCCACAGCCACAGCGGTACCGGCAAGCACAGGAAGCACCGGGGGGCCGAGGTGATGCTTGGCAGCTTGCATCATCACAGGATCACCTTCGACAAATATCACCCAGGTGACTTTGGGAAAGTTGGTGTGAGGCATTACCACTGAAAGAGGAACCAGAGCTTCTGCCCAACTGTCAACCTTGATAAACTGTGGCCCCTGGTCAGCGAGCAGACCCGGGTAAATGCTGCCAAAAGCAAGACTGGAGCTACTCCTGTCACTGATGTGGTGCGATCGGCTACTACACGGTTCTGGGGAAGGGAAGGCTGCCAGAGCGGCCTGTCACTGTGAAGGCCAAGGTCTCCAGCAGAGCAGCCGAGGAGGAGATGAAGGGTGTTGGGGGGCCTGTGTCCTGGTAACTTGAAACTACATGGAAGGAAGTTTATTAAAATGTCCACAAGTAGCCGTAACCCGTTTGGCCCAGTGGATAGAGTGTCGGCCTGTGGACTCAAGGGTCCCAGATTCGATTCCGATTAAGGGCATGTACCTTGGTTGCGGGCACATCCTCATTAGGAGGTGTGCAGGAGGCAACTGATCGATGTTTCTCTATCATCGATGTTCCTAACTCTTTATCCCTCTCCCTTCCTCTCTGTAAAAAAATCAATAAAATATATTAACAAAAAAGTAATAATAATTTTTTTTAAAAATGTCCACAAGTGCTTTTGTTTTCTGGACTGAGTGTAGGTCCTTAGGCATCTCTACTTCCCTACTTTTACTTCAAAAACCTCCCTAACAGGATCTAGGGGTGATAATATCAAGGCCTGGGGAAGAAAGTATGCAAGAGACAGCACCAACTCTTAGAGGCCTTTGGAGCGTTACTTAACTTGAACTTTTCATTTATAGAGTGAGAATGATATCTGTCATAAAGTGTCAGTGTGTAAATAAGTATTAAATAGTTGAAAGGCAGGAGTAGCAACAGCCAGGCCCCAGAGCAGCAGCAGTCAGAACCAGAGCAGCAACAGCCAGGCCTGGAGCAGCCAGACCTGGGGCAGTGGCAGCCAGGCCTGAGGCGGAGGCAGCCAAACCCAAGGTGGCCAGTCCAGGAACACCCAGGCCCGGAGTGGCCGGGCCCGGAGAAGCCGGGCCCAGAGCAGCCAGGTCGGGAGCAGCCAGACCAGAACATCAGCAGCCAAACCCGGAGCATCCAGGCCAGGAGCTGCCAGGCTGGGAACATCCGGGCCCGGGGCAGCCGGGCCCAGAGCAGCCGGGTTGGGAGCAGCCAGGCACAGAGCAGCAGCAACCATACTTGGAGCAGCCAGGTCGGGAGCGGCCAGGCCCGGAGCAGCAGCTGCCAAGCTGGGAGCGGCCAGACCCAGAGCGGCCGGGTCAGGTGTGGCCAGGCCCGGACCAGCAGCAGCCAGGCTGGGAGCGGCCAGACCTGGAGCGGCAGTGGCCAGACCCGGAGCAGCTGGTTATGGAACGGACCAGAGCAACAGAGGCCAGGCCCGGAGCAGACAGGCCCAGAACAGCTCGCTCCTCGCCTGCCTCCACCTCAAGGCTGCCTCTCAAACATGGCTGGAAACTTTTGGGGGAACTTGAGGGTCTGCTGAATCAAATGAGGAAGGCTTAGATCTGGATGTGTTAAGTCAGTATAGCGCTGGGGTGTTGATCTGTGGGTGCCTTGTGTGGGGCCTGGATGAGGTTGGTTGATCTATTTGGAAATGTCTTTTGTGTGAAGTGTATCCTTAGGCATGTGGAGGTATTACTGATTTGAGAAAATGCTAAGTAACTGATTTACTATCTGAAAAATTTAAAGTTCTGAAAGTTTAAGGTCTCTGCCAAAAAGAGCTTTTAAAGCTAACACCTTAATTTTAATGGAGAAAGGGAATGACAAGCCCTTCCCACCCAGAACAGGTAATCCAATTCCAACCAGCAGCTATGTTTAAACAATGTGTCCATTTACACTTGAATGGCTACACCTTTTGATAGCCTAAGGGCAAGTTTACATGTAAACAAGTTTGCTCTCAATTCCCAGGGCAGAAAAAAAAACAAGGTTTAAAATTATTAGATTTTAAAATTTATTCTTAGAAATGTAAAAGTTTATTAATTAAAACAACAACAACAAAAAGGAGATTAAAAAACCTGATGAACAATAATAGCGGTTCACCGTAGTAGAGTCGTATGGGAGGGGAGTGGACTGACTGTTCTGGGGGGGGGGGGAGAGGGGAGAAGAGATTGAACATAAACTGTGCACCTATGGATGAGGACAATGGGGGGCGGAGAGGGGGCGGAGGGTGGGGTGGGAACCTGGTGGAAGGGGGAAGAAATGAGGAACCTTTGTAATAATATGAACAATAAAGATTGATTTTAAAAAAAAATAGTTGAAAGGCAAATAAATAAATAAACGGAGGTACATTCAGGCAATGAAATGTTCTTCAGCACCAAAAAGAAATGCACTATCATGCCATAAGAAGACATGGAGGAAATGTGAATGCATATTACTAAATGAAAGAATTCAATCTGAAAAGGCTACACACCTTATGATTTCACTATATGACACCCTAGAAAAGGCAAAACGTTATGGAAACAGTAAAACGACAGAAGCTACCAGGGCTTGGGGTGGGGTAGGACGGAGAGGATGAATAGGTGAAACACGGAGGACTTTTTGGGCCGTGAAACTACTCCAAATGCTACTGTGATGGTAGTGACATGCCATTAAAAATTTGTCCAGGCCACAGACTGTTTAAGACCAAGAGCGAACCCTAATGTAAACTGTGCATTTGGGTAAGAATGATGTATCAATGCAGGTTCATCAGTTGTCACAAATGTGCCCCTCTGCTGGGGAATGCTGAGAGTGAGAGAAGCTATACACGAGAGAAGGCAGGGGGTTTACCGGAAATCTCTGTACCTTCTGCTCAGTTTGGCTAAGAACCTAAAACTGCTCTAAAAAAAATAAAGACTATTAAAAATGTTAGGTTCACTTAGTAAACCACTTTTGGGGGGAAATCAGTAGAAAAGAAAAAATGGTTAGTAAGAATTAGACATTCTCCACAAACTATAGGCCAAAATAAATTCCAGCTAAGGAAGGAGGAAGAAGAGGAGGAGGAGGAAGCTGTGCCTCAGTCCCCAGAAGGGGACATGCAGGAGGCTGGTGATCAATGATTCTTTCTCATCATTGATATTTCAATCTCTCTCTCCCTCTCCCTTCCTCTCTGAAATCAATAAAAATAGGTTGATTTGGTTTCGGCCCTATAGCCAAAGACCATTGAAGAAATGCAATTTTAGATGTTTTCAATTAAAACAAAATGTCTGAGTAATATATCTTACCACTGTTTAATAAATCAATCAGCTAATGAT